CTTTCTTTTTCTTTCTTTCTTTCTTTCTTTCTTTCGCGTTGGCAAGATAAATAAATCTCGTATCTCCAAATTCAATTTTATTGGAATTTATTTTTCTTTTTTTCAGAGATAAGATAGCGTTTGAAAAAGTGATTCTTCGAATGTAGGTTATTATTATTTGGCGAAGCTGAGAGAATGCTGAATTGTTGGTTTCGAAGGATTGGATATATCAACGAAGACGAGGATCTTCGTTTAGAAATTAGAAACGTGAATTTCTTAGAAACGTGTCGATTAAATGGGATATTTCAGAAGTGAAACTCATCGAGATCATCTTCTACGGTGTTTCTCAATTTTAACTTTTAGAGTTTTTTTTTTTTACGATATCGCCAAGCAATTTCTCAGGAATGACAAAATTTGCTTTTGATTGAGAGAGATGCGCGAACAATCAAATGTTCTTTCAGAATCAGAATTAATCAACAATGCAAAATATTTCCACAACTTTCTTTCCAATTTTCAAAGATCCAAATTCCTCGAAAATCGTATATGAACAAAATACAATTACACTCCAATAACAATATGCTTTGGGGAATATGCAAAAAATCGAATTAATCGACTGACAACGATGCAAAATATTTTCTTTCGAATTTTCAAAGATCCAAATTCCTCGAAAATCGTAAACAAAATCGCAAACAAAATACAACCCCAACGATAATGCTTTTTCTGAATTTTGGTTAAAAAATCAAATAGAATATCATATTTCAGATCTAATTAATCAACTCGCAATAATGCAAAATATTTCCACAACTTTTTTTCTAATTTCCAAAAATCCATATCCCTCGAAATACGCTTACGTTAACGATAACAAATATCCATCGTACTTGTACAAATAAAACTTAACTTATCTTGACTCGAGAGAGAAAGAAAAAACGTTCGAAATCACGAAGCATCCCCGATTCCCGCGTTGATTACGAAATATGAAGAGCGTGTTGCGGTAAATCAGTCGGAACGGCTCGCCTCTTCTTTTCACCGTCTCCATCGGTGGTGTGCTCGTGATACAGGGAGTGAAAGGAAGCGGCAGGATCAACAGGTTGTCTTGATTCCCATTTCGTGTGCACACTGTAGCAAGAGTTTGACCTTTAGTCGGGAAATGAAAGCGATTTTGTCCGCATTCTGATCTCCTTCGGCAAAAAACATGTTATAGTTTTTTTTTTCTCTCTCTCTCTAGGATTATAACAGTGATAAACTGACTGAACAAAGTCGTAACGCGTTTTTGAGAATCGCAGTTGGAAACGATTGGAATTATATTGGATTTTGGGAATAAAAAGAAACGTGAAAATTGGAATTCAAACGGAAAATTATCTAAAACTATTTATCCAAAAAAAAAAGAAACGAAATCTTTAGTTTATTCGTTCATTCTGCTCGAGATGCAACACTTGGTCATCTCTTATCGTAATCCAATTAGACAGATGACGCAACAAAAGTCGATTCATCATCGCCCCGAACAAACGTTCTGCGATCGTAAACTACTCGCATCATCTGTGACAAAGGAAAAAGCGTGCAAAGAGGAACAAGATATATTTACACTTTTGCCATGCGCGGTGGTGGAAAATAAACGGAAAGAGAAACGAGAAAAAAGAGGAAAGAACACGAAGAAGGAAGAACAACGAAGGAGGAGGAGAAAGGAATCTTTACGTGAGCCACACGAATACCTGGCTCCTCGTGGTTTCCGCGTTCGCATACGGTATACGGGACCGGTTCACCGGTGATTCAGAGGTTTATGCCGGTTCCAGTAGAATTAACGTCGGCATCTTCCCTCCTCCGTTGCTTTTTTTCCCTTTCTCCCGACTATCAGCCGGGGAAGAGACGACGGCGAAGAGAAAGGTCGCAGATGCGAACGAAAACGAAATGGGAACTCTTCCAACTCTCGTCGTCCATCTGTGAAGTATGAGAGAGAGAGAGAGAGAGAGAGACTCGTTTCTTCGAAACATCGAAGAACTACGCTCGTTTTCGACCAATCTTTTTTCATATTTGGGTGATTATAAATTGAATCGCAATTTTCGAAATATTTTCACGAAATTATACATCGTCATGGAAGACGAATAAGATCGTACGACAGAGTTTTTTTACCTTCGCGAGTAAAAATCGCGAGAGTTCGATTCTTGATCAAAAAAAATCCAATATTCGACGAAAGAAACTCGCGTACGTATTTTCGAGCGAATAATAAAAAAAAAAAAAGGAAAAAAAAAGATACGAGAGAGGAGGTTGGAAGGAGGGCAGGATAGAAGAAAGAAGGTGACAGCGGCGTGTGCGTAGCCATTAGAATCTTCAGGAACTCTCTCCGTTCCCCACCTTGGAGCCATGATGGAACTTGTCCCCTCTTGCCGACCGGTATTTCGCCACTTTCGATTTTATACGGCCGGTACGCGCCGTTACCGTTAATTTCATGGATCGGTCACGATCGAGGCAACCGCACCAGGAAGTGGGTCGATCCGGCGGCGTGGAAAACGGGGACGCCGATCCTCCGTGTTCCAGTTTTCCCTTTTTTCTAAACCGTCGAAATGGAAAGTCGTCCCCCCGTTCGATCTTTCTTCTTTTCTCGCGAAACGGGAGAGAAGAGCGTCTTGCCACCGCTCCTCCTTGTAATCCACGATTTTTCGCCGTGGAATTCCGTTTGATCGCGCGCCGGGTTCTTGCCAGTAGAAAGTTCCGGCCTGTGGTCAGACAGCCTCGATATCATACCTCGGCAAGAAGCCGAGTTTTCAGCAATTGTTTCTCTTGTTTCGGAAGGGATTCGATCGATTGTTTCTTTTTTTTTTTTTTTTTTTGGGTTCAGCGATTCTTCGTTTTGTTTCGATTAAGGAGAAAATCACACGAGATGTGAAAAGATTTCAGTAATTTTTCCAATTATCGTGAAATTACCGTGATATTATTGATAAATTTTCATGTCTTTCGATCAATGGACACATGCGTGCAATGTATAATGCTGTAATTTATTTCAATTAATAGGTAAAGAAATTGCAAGTTAAGCGTGTAATTAGAAAACGGTATTGAAGAAGTATTAACGTATCGCGAAATCAACGTTAAAAGAAGTGAATTAGGTTTATTCTCATATACCTCACTGTGAAGAATTCTTCCATGACGATTTCATTCACTCGTTTCAATTTTTACAAGACCTAAAAATCCCAACAACCATTATCCTCGACGATACATAAAAAAAAAAAAAAAAAAAAAAAAAAGAAAAGAAAAGAAAAAAATAGTTAAGAGAAAAAAGTACAAAGCAGAGATTTCACCGCTTTCGAAAATCGTTTTTTTCAAAACTTCTCGAGAACAATATTTAATCAGCGGATCTCTATTCTTCTAGGGGAAAAAAAAAAAGGAAAATACTAAAAATATTCATCTTCAACCATGCACGAAGACTTTTAATCCAAAAAAAAAAAAAAAAAAAAGAACACGCACAATTCCAAATAACGAGAAACGAAATCTTCGAAAGGGATGAAATCGAAAAAGGGCGACGAGATCATCTTTTGATCCGACGAGATACTCTCGAGCAAAAAGAACAAGGATGAAACCCTTCCCCAAAAAAAAAAAAAAAGAAAGAAAAAGGAATGAAAAAAGATTGGCGAAGAAGGAAGTGAGAACGGAATCGTACAACACCACGGTGCGCGTGTAACTCTCCAACGCGGTAACGAGTAAGAGGGAGAGAGAGAATAGCCAGAGGGTGCGTGGTGGGAGGTGGGGGCGGGTAAAAGCGGATGTTTGGCGAACGCGAAGGAGACGACGGGTACGAACGGGTTGGAGGTGGGAACAGACAACGCGGACTTACCTACACACGGCTCACTTCCATGTATAGCGTATTCGTAACACGCGAGAGAAACGTCTCTGGTACGGGAGGACGGACGGTTGCGGGAGAAAGAGAACGATGCAAGGAGACGGGGAGAGAGAGAGAGAGAGAGAGAGAGAGAGAGAGAGAGAGAGAGAGAGAGAGAGAGAGAGAGAGAGAGAGAGAGAGAGAGAGGNG